CCAAGGTGAAATACTATTAACCTCAACATGTGAGATGTTGCTTGTGTCTAGGTCAATCGTGCTGCTTACATTCTCCATTCTTATGTCGAATGTGGGGACACAACTCGTCCGAGCGGCAAATAATCTTTTCAGCTGAGTATCTGGACAATCAGCTGTAAGTTTTTTCTGAGATTTTTGTTTAATGTAATAAAAGAGAGACAACTGTTCTCTCCTGAGAGATAGTGGAAGCTCATAAGCATCCACATACAAACTTTGAACAGGGGAAGTTCGAAATGCACCAGTGCACAAATGCAAAGCTTGATGGTGGATTGGATCCAGCATCCAAAGAGTAGATTCTCGCGCAGAGCCATAAACAATGCAACCGTAATCCAGCTTAGAGCGAACAAGGGCCCTATATATCCTGAGCNAAACCCAGCTTCCCTATCATCAAATGTCACGGCACGCCCCTGCAATTCACATCCTGCGATCGAGGAGTTCGACACCAACTTCCACAGAGTGAAGTTCATACTGTCCTCCATAGAATATAGTTCAACTATAGTCACCCAAAAAGAAAGTTGTCTCCATAATCCAGAGTTTGACATAGATAACCCAAAAGTATAATTTGACTCCATAAAATAGATCTCTGATGTCCCAGAAAAGAATAAGCCATATATAGAAAACTCGACGAAGTAATTTAACTTGTACATTAGAAGAAAGAGTTATGCGACACCTCTCCGAACTTTCAAAGATCACTCTGTAAGGTAGTATAAATGGTAGTTTATTGTTAACTCTCTCTCTCTCTGTAAGATCCACAAGATAAGTATAGAATAGCCAGAAATAAGGATTTCGATACCTATTTATATCATTTAGTTGTATCTTGTTTCATAGATTTATTAAATTTATTGTTATTGTTTATAATATGGTCTCCTTAATGACTGAAGCCTGAGCCTACATCCACTCCACTTACTCGCGACTCTCTCACTCAAACTTCATCTAAATAGAAAAATAAGCGTGCCTAACGCTATATCTAGCTGATGTCAGGAACAACAACTTCTAGGAGTTTCTTACGAACTTCTGTTCTTTATTCTAAGTCTTAGAAAGCCATCCTTTGACGTTGCGAGCCAATCTAAACGATTGCGTGCTGATTACGAGACCTAGAGTTCTCAAAATTTGAACTCTATGCCCCGGCTCCTTACAAGATCAACAAAATAATTGATTACACATCCTTACAGATATTATGAGAATAATATTTTTTCGAATTAAAATGATTACAAAATTTGTTATACTGTGTTATCTAAAAGTTCTACATTTCAAAATAAATGTGGATTATGATGAATTATGACGTAATTAGTGTTATGTAATAAATGATCTTTGTTTATGCTTCTCGTTTCTGCTGGAAAGAGACAGGACAAACTTTGTTTCGAACTAACGTTCATCAAACGCTCTCGTTCTCCTCTCGTCTTTTCTCACGAGAGTTATGAGACACATTTATTAATAATTTAAGTAATTACAATTGTAGAAAAAATGTATAAAAACTAGATAAAATTAAATTATGGAGTATTTAAACAATAATAAATTTGTAAAACATAAATATGAGAAAATAACAAAAAAACATAATATCCGCGGGGTGGCGACATCCATCACCCCACTATCCAATTAGTAATGGTCAGTTTGAGGGTAAGCTAAACCGACGTATAGTACGGGTAACTGTAGCAAATTGTGGGATGCAGAGTACGCCGGAAAAAAAGGTCCGAAGCTCGTCAAGCAGTATACTTTAATTATAGACATCCTGTATTTTAGTTATACAAAAAGAAAACAAGAGCGCATCTAGTCTCTATCATCTGAGGCACACTAAGATCCTGGTGCCTCCTCTTTTGTTTTGGAGATTTGGGACTTTGACGATAGAAGAATGTTAGGTTCTTATAAATTCACCATATTTGCTAACATAAATGCTTTTAAAAACGTTTCGAAATTTGAATAAATAAGTATTAATTTGTATCAATGGGAGAACTTAAGGGCTTGTAGCCTTTCCAGTGGATAAGTACGTGTCTAGAGGCAGTGCCCTGACCGTGCCCACCAACCTAGCTGGCTGCACAGAGGAATGATATTAAGAATAGGAGAAGCCAACTAGTAAAATTAGACGAATTAGAAATACCCGTAGAAAGCTTGCAGTTGGCTGAAAAGATGGATTGAGTTAGCAACGTCTTCGATGATTCGTGTTGTGACGTCTAATTACGCTATAATTTCAGAATCAGTATTCCTGTCGTTAATTGGTCGGGCTGAAGACTTTGTTTAACATAGGAAGTATAGGGAGCTGACCATCTTTGTTTTTTCTCTAATCTATGGTTGGCTCTTATTGAGTAGTTTATTCGGCAACCAAGTTATCGTACGGCAACCAATGCAATTATCAGTTCAGAATTCTGTTCGTAAACCGATTCGTTCGAAAAGTAAATCGTTCGAAACCGAAATTTGACTATCTTTTTTTGTAAGGTCAAATTTTGGACATGCGTTTTCTTAAATCTTCTTCTAAGGATTCTGGCTATGATCGACTTTTGTTTTTAATATTGTTAATTGCACATTAATGATTTCGACATAATATGTCGAAATCATGACCAATGAACATATATTATATTATATTAAATTTAATTCTAACTTTACCCATCTGTTTTGGGTGATGGTAGCTTTACTCGCTTGTGGCTTTGATAAAGCATTAGTCTGTAACACATATACAGTATATATACATATCTTTGTGATAAATATATGATTATTGAAATGTAAAAATCCGAATAAGATGGAAATTTAATGTATTTGTTGAATGTTTCTACTAACTTAAACCAGGTATTTATGTTTTGTGTTCATATTCACTGGTGTGATATACCATAACAGAAATCACTTGTTTAAGTTAATAGAAACGTTCAAATTAAGAGCAAAAAGCAAAAAAACAATACGTTTAATGTATTTATTATGTTTTATTTTTATTGGAACAATACTTATAAAACAAATTTAAGATAAAAATTTAATAAAATATGAAAAGTTGTAATTTTCAAGATTACGTGGAATATATTTACACTTTATTGAAAATTTGCATAAGTTTCAAAAGAATCTAGATATGTTAACGCAACTTGATGACAGTAAATGTATTGACCCTGAAAAATACAAAACGTTTTAATATTCATGGAATAATTTAATTATATTTTAAAGTACAATTTTCTAATTACCACGTCTTCAATGAATTGAGGTCGATTGGCACGAATACTTCTAACAGCAAAGAATACGTCCACTTCTTGTTCGTATTTTATCTTATCGCAAATAAATACAGATCCGCAATATAATCCACAAGCACGCGCGCCGTTCCTACATGTTATATAAAATAACTGCTTAACCTAGGATTTCTACAACCTTATTTTAATGTAAAATGGAACCATTGCTTACGTATTCGTAAATTAAAAGTAATATATTGAAAATAGTGATTTATACTTACAGACATTGAACAATGACGGTGGTGGTTGCAGAATTTTGTTGCCATCTTTCTACTTTTTCGATTAAGCACAATAATATATCGGATGACGTGGGCAATGTGCTACTCGACGACCATCCAGTCAAATGAAATTGCTTCATGACTTTTGTAACTGTCTCTTCCTAACAACAAATAAAGTTCAATATTATTTTTGCATTCTGAAATTAAGAATTATTTCTGTTCATTTTAATAGTTTAATTTATCTTAAAATTAACTTTTAAGATGAAACAAATCTATATTAGAATTTAAAAAAATCAAGGAAAGCACGATGTCCAAATTATTGAATATTAATTTATTGTTGTTTTATGTATTAATTTATTTACTTAAAAATTGTCGAAAGAATTATTTATAAATTGTAATTTGGATACAAGAATTACAATTAGCCAAAGAGAGATTATTTCATGTTCTTTATTTTTTCCCTTTCATTTTTGATTATTTCCTCCTCTAAGGGAACAAAAAACAGGGCTTTCATGAAGCTCACTGAGTTCGACCATGCCTAATATGGGTCAGTCAAAAGACACAACTGGAACAGACCAGTTATAAAAATCCCTCGCGTTCTCCTCCCAGATTCGATCCAGAACTGAAGCCTTTAATGCTTTGTCCAACTCTCCAAGAAATATCCTCTACTTAATTTAGAACAAATAAAACAATAAAATCAATATGTTGAGTATTAAACGATCAAACAAGTGGTTGTATTTATTGAATTTAAAACACTGAAAAAATTAAAAATCTTTTTGAAAGTTGCTACCAGTGGCCGAATGGATTAAACCATTGACCACTGGTAGTTGGTTGCGTATTCCCGCCTAACCAACTGAATGACCATATAAAGTTTTTTTAGTTTCTTCACGTGTCTAACATTTAAATAGGAACCAGTTTCCCGTATAAATTCCTCCCTGGAGGCACCTCTCTCCTTGGCAGATCGCCTAAGATTTGCGTTGATTTATATAATCAAGCCAATCCAATCTTTTGAAGTTATACGCTAAAATTTAAGCATACCTGATTAGAAATATTTCTTAATTCAAAGGTTCTGACTATAATATCGCCATGTTTTTCTTCGGAGACTTTTTTAACTTCAACGTCTTCATAAGTTTCTGTATTTTCTGGCCAATATTGCATGCAGGTCTGTAAAGTAAACTATTTGAATTTTAAAAAAATATAGTCTATATATTTGCATATATTTACCTAACAATCATCAATTAAAATATATTATATTAACTTAATACCTCGTCAATTGGATCTAATTCGTTTAGAAGTACAATAGTAGAAGTTTTAGAAGAAAAAGCCATCCTCCAGAAATCTGACACGGTTTCTGGCAATGGAATTTGCGTGACTAGAAATGCATCTTTTTGTTTATATCCCTAAATGAAAGAATTTATAACAATGAAACGTTGAGAAATGCAAAATTAATTACAAAATTATATTATAATAAAAATATTAAAAATTAATTGTTAAACTAGAGGATATTTTAAATTTACTTACATTAACATAGACAGCGTTAATATATGAAGATTCCGGATTTCCATTAGTAACTTTTAAGATTGGACGGGAACGATCAGCTAAAATAAAATTCCATTAATAAAAATTCATAATCTGTAAATAAATACAGCAAGTCCACATTTAACGGCGTTGAGGAAAGATACAACTACATTTGTAATCATTGTTACTAAATTTTCTTTATAAACAATAAAATTGATTCTTTTGGACGGGAAATAAACGACGAAAGTTGCGAATACGATCCATTATAATAATATTAAATGAATTATATCTTGTTTATAATATTTACTCTATAGTAAAATTGGTTTCCAATAACCTTTAGACGACGTTAAATGAGGACTTGCTGAAGTTCTAATATACTATAAACATTAAAAAAGTCTAAATCTAAGGCGATAACATATTATAATACTTATTTATAAACAATTATTTCAGCATTTAAACAGTTTGAAAAAATTCATTTTGCATATTAAAGTTTTAATCTAAGAACAAATTGTATAATAAATTACATTGTATTATACAATTTTAAAAATAAAATAATTAATACATACGTGGAATAATCTTATCACTTCTATTTTTTCCTTGATTAGTTGGATCTAATGCACTTCGACAATCAGTTGTTTTCAATAATGGACATATTTTTGACAGTTTCTATAAAGATTAAAAAAATTAGCAAATTTTAAATAAACTTCTTGCAAATTTAAATAGGATTAATAGAAAAGTCTTTGCAGTTAAAAAATCTATAAAATATGCGTAAAATTACCTCAAATTGTACGTGAAATTGAGTAAGACCAGTTTTGGGATCGACTGTTTTTAAACGATTAAGAGTGGGAATAAACTCTGAACAAGTAATTGACGTTTTTTCTGTACATAACGCTTCGATTAAACACTGACACGCCAGGTAATATTGATCCTATAAATAGAAATTAGTGACCGTGGTTAAAATTTCATAATAAAGAATTCTATTAGAAAACAAACACGATATAGAATAAATACCATCGTTTCCACCATATTAATTCTCTGTTGTCTCATTATATGCAATTGTGAAAGCAGATCTACGTGATTTTCGGCCGCTGCCATATCCAACATGCTATCTATTAAAATTAACGTTCCTGTTCGTCCAATTCCGGCACTAAAAGAAGTAACTACATTTATCAAAATATATCAACAAGGTAATAAATTTTAATTTAAAAATACTTCTTACCTTATTTCTTATTATAGGTAAGAAAATACAGATTAACAGTATATAATTAATTTAATATAAATTTTTCATTAATCACTTGTAAACAACGATATTACTGTTTGTTTCCACTTCTTTATTACCAACGCACACTAACTAAAGGTTTATTTCAAATGTCGAAAATTGTGTATTCCATGTATTTAAATATACGTGAAAATTGAAATTATTTTAGTATTAGTACTGATCTTCAATTGTTTTTATACGATGTAAACTTCTATTTCTTCGGAGAATATTGTGAGCATTTTATGTAAATTATTTTGTTAAATGTGGCAAAAAATCGAATATAATTCAAAGATAATTTACATTGAAAAATTGTTATTTTCAAACTATTTTTGGATCGATACTGTAAAGTCTTAAAGTGGTTAAAATTAAGAAATTTCTTAAAAATAAATTATGTTATTACTTATATTTATCTTACCTACAATGAAACACAATTGGACTTTTGTCTTTGGGCTTATAAGTTCTCGTTTTTAATATAAAATTACTAACTGCTATTGCATACATTGGAACACCGTGATCTGGCCACGTAGTAAAGTGAAATTGCTTAATTTCTCGAACTTCGTTTTCCTGTGAAATAAATACAGCTTCGTCTTAACTACAGTAAACAGCTACTTATAAGTGCATGGCATTCGTTGTGTATAGGATTATATTTGAAAATCTGTATAAGATAGGCCAAGATCATATCAGATGGATGTAATATTACTTTTTATTTACCTTGCTAACGTGGAATGTTCGAATAACATAATCAGCAAATATCTCGGAATTCAATAATGTCACAGTTACGGAACCAAATGTCCCTCTCGAATCCGCCCAATATTTTTCACACTTTGTCTAATTAAAACATAAAAAAACCCATCAAATACATTATAAATATCACAAATTTAATTTAAAATAAAATAATAAAATCAAAAATTAAATAACAGTTTTATAAACGAAAGAATTGAGCGACCTTTCCGTTTTCTACTAAATTCGTTGATATGATTATTTTGCAGACTTTTTCCTGCCAAATCATTCTCCAAAAGTCGTTAACAGTTAAAGGTTTGGGACCTTCGATTTAAATTAAATAAAGATCTTTAATATTTTATGAATTAATTAAACTCTTTATAATCGTAAATTTTTTACCTTGAGTAGCGATGTATCTTTTGGGAGATTTATAGCCCTAATAATTAAATTTAAAAAAATGTATGTAGAATAGCAAGGTGTCGTTCGTAAATATTCAATACTATTTTGAAGCTACTCACATCTATATAATTTGCATTGATATAATCGGAATACGGGTCGTCTGGTAACTTCTCTAAAACAACCCGCGTGGAATCATCTAAAATGTTTGTATTTAAAAATAATAGAAGTTGTTAAATAACATTTTAATAAATGCTAAAATATGTCTAACCAATAATTATATTATACAGTAGTTAAACACAAATACTTAACACTTACAGGACAAAAGATTTCCATAACGGTTCTTCAGTTTATTTTCGGGAATTTTTGCTGTTTCCCACGATTTATTTTGTCCTTTTTCTACGGACTACAATTTTCTATTGTTTAAATATATATAAAATATTACATTTCTAATAAAATTACTATAAACTAACCGTAAATTGTTTCCTTAATGTTCCATTTCGTAACGCTGTCTGAACAAAAGTTTCTAATTCAGATACGGGAACTTTTTTACTTTGAATTTCGGATATTGGTTCTAATTCTGCACACTCTTCTAAATCCATTGTTAAGGTTATAGATTGCCGTTCTGTTAATATATGTAATATGTATATAAGTTTAGAAATGAAGATTCTCAAGTATTAGTCCAGTCAAAGTGTTTTAGTAAATAAAATTTAATATTCTCACCTTTTTTCGAATTTCTGGCATCTAAATCTTTCATCGTTGATGCGTATTTTAATAATTTTGGATATCTATATTTATAATAAAATATAGGAATTCATAATATTAATATATATAATTAACAGTTCTGTTAATAAGTTTAGCTCAACTTAATTATAACTTTCAAAATACATTTTAAAATGCAATAGAAGTATTTAGTTTAATATTTACCTGAATCTTATAAATATAATGATTACAATTATAACGGTAAGGCACACTAAAACTCCAATTATTATACCAGGAATATTGGACTTGTCCACAGTAAAATGATCTGAATTCTTAACTATAAAATATTTTTACACTTATAGTTAATTAAAATTACTTTTTGTTTTGAAAAATAATAATTAAAAATGAGATCTTTAATAAGACTAAAATATATTCTTTACAGACAGTTGTATTTATCACAAAATACTTAATATTCGAGAAGCAAACACTTACAAAGCAGCTCAGTATTAGAAAAAAGCCGAACTTATACAATTCTTCAAATTTTTAGGAGTACATGGCGCACTCTTTTTATCCCTTTCTAATTAAACAAAATGTAGAATATAATAACGTAGACCTTCTATACAACTTTACAACTAGAACTGTAGTTCTATCTGCAATAGAAGCTGAGATAATCCGATTTTTAGGATAGGGAAAAATTTGCTGATGCACCAATGAATAGCCCATCCTCGATAATACATGAAATCAAGCATCGTTTACGCGAATCTGATAGTTCTTTCTGAGTTATTAGCCTGGATCACTGTTTGATGTCACCCTGTATTTATCCGGATTTTCTAAATACACGCATAAATTAGCATTTTAAGCGCTGCAAACTCCAAATATACTGTAAATCAAGTGTAGACGTGCTAAGTTCAAATTAGTATTTCACTAGATATATAAGAAATAATCCTAAAAATATTTTAAAATATAATTTAAAGAATCACTGTATTTAAACAAAAATATACTAATTATAATTTCAAGATGAAAACATTACGAATTCTGAACGAATGTTAGAACATTAAAAATGCAAAGACGGAAGATCATCACTAACGAAGTTACTATTGGAAGAGATTGCGAAAATCGTCAAAGATAATTAAACTATTTTCCCACGGACTTATTTCCTTGTTGAAGATGATACATCGAATGTGTCACCCGGAATCAACGAGTGAAAATGTGACTATTGGCCACGATGCACTAAACCTAATAAACAAGTCATGGGAAAAACCTAGGAGGAGCCCCGAATAAAAGGGAAGGGGTGACAATAAGCCGAAGAAGTCGTCATCAACTAGAAATCTGAACTGTGTGCGTGTGTATTCGCCGATTTCAGCCGTCGCCACTCGCTGCCCTCGCAAGAGAAAAAGGACTTTCCTTCTTCCAGAGTCGCTGAGCCTTCATCGAACCGATCATCAATTCGCCGAATCTGGGATTATCACTTCCTAGGACCAATAAGTGATTAAGATATTTACCATCTCGCGAACTCACTGTGAGCTCTTTCTTTCGATCAGGGTCGCGTTGGGTATATCTCTGCATATATATCTCTTCTTTTAGCAATTGCTCTAAGCGTCTAACTAATTTTTAGCCATTGGGCTAAACTTCTGAATAATGGAAACTTGTAACCAGTATCTCGTAGAATTTGTAAATACTATCTATCGATAAACGAGTATTTTTGTTAAATAATAACTTGTGGAGTGTATAGAGTGTACTTTTTTCGGTCGTTTCCTTCCGCCTCCATTCGGGACCGATAGCCTGCAATAGCGACCGCTCGAAAAAAAGCGGCCAATCCGGTTTTTGTGTCTATCCGTGAAGACAAAGTGGTGTCATCCTGACAAAGTGCCAAAGAGGCTCCGACCCTGCGGTCACAGCCGCATTTTCGGTGCACATTTTTGCTGCATAAATGAATCATAGTGATTTTTCCGAAGCACTGTCCATTCCATCTCATCGAAACCAATAAAGTCTGATGTCGGCGGTTCATTAATAAATCATTTAGTGTAAAATTTATATTCACTAATTCGTTAAAAAACATTTCAAAATAAAGTTATAGAGAACTGTGAATATATTCTAAATACCATGGACTAGCTAACATTCAATACATAGATTTAGTAAGCATAGAATAGACAACAATTGGAAAATAACATAATCAATAAATCTTTACAGCAATTAAAAATTAAAATAACAAATATCAAAATGTAAATTAAACAAATAAAATTTAAATAGAGAATTATTTTTTGTATTATATTTATATATAGCTTATTTAAGTTATATAAATGACAAACCTGTAACTGCTTCTGTTAAGTATTTATATCCTAAGCGTTCTTCCTAAAACATTAATAATATGCTAAATTAGTATTATTTATTAACATGAAGAGAATTAATGTAAAAACTATACATTAATTTAATCAATACATTTCAATTTATTTTAAAAGTTATTGAATATCTTTTTGCAACTATTCGAATAAGTCAATCTGTGTAAATAAACTTACTAAATTATCAGTTATAAGTTTTGTAAGAAGTAAAAAGTTGTACAATACAACTTTTCTTTAAATTAACCAAGTGCTAAACAATACTTGTAAAATAGCTTAGTGTTGAATAGCATAAAAAACATGTGTTAAAGCAAATAATAATAATCTTAAAGATAATATTTCATTGTAAGATTTTCTTCCTTAATTTCAAGCTTTAGTTTTATTTCTATTGAAATGTAAATGACAGAATAGATACTAAGATTTCTTTTATTATCTTCAAAGTAATAGATTCGAGTTCTTGTAAGAATTTATTAAATTGATTAAACTTCCATTACTGAAAATTTATATGACATTTACAAATTAAGTTTGCTATAGTTTCTCTATTTAAAACCAAAGTAATATCAAACAAGTTAGAATCTGCTTTTGAATGTTTGGTTTCTTTCTTCAAATAATTAAGGTACTTTATATGTAACAAATATTTTATAGTACATAAAGAACAATTATTAATATTGACCTTGGAGTATGCTCAAATACCCATTTCATATTGCTTCAAAATTCCCCCGTAATTTTTAAAATTTCTAAATTTCGGGGACAATCAGAGTTTCCTAGCTGCAAGGGCTCTCTGAACTCGCCTGAATCTATTCGTAAACCACATTTCAGTAGCTGAATTTTCGAATCTTTCGTTGGTGCACAGTTTAATAGTTCTATTGTTCAGCGCTTAGGCTAGACCGCCAGAAATATTACGACCGAAACAGTTCAAGTTCGAGGGTACCAAAAATATGGGTCCCCCAATGAGTCTACCTCCTATTCGGAGCCAGTCATTTTAAAATTTCAAGTAATAGGTCGTTTGCCTTCACGATATTCTACCAAATAATAACATATACTTCGTTTAAATAGTCTAAAGGTTATCCCATCTGAATCAGAGCTGATCAACCATCTTGCATTTTTCTTGTTAATTTACAGAATCAGATTTATCTGCGTAAAATCAGCTGGTTAACTTATCTGGTAGTTCATCTCAAAGATTCATGCTTGTCGATTCGCTAATAATAACTCGGTAAATTAAAGTGCATTTGAAGTTTAGATTAAAACTCGTATAACTGCCCCTAAATATAAAATTCATACGGCCTAAGTTTATAATACTAATTATGTATGTAGATATCTTACCCCGTTGAATTCACTTAGTACAGCTAATCCAATTTTATATTCTTCTCCGGTAGTAAGAGGAGCGTTGTAATAACCGTTATAATGTTTTCCATCTCCTACAGTAAAGTCTATTCCAGTAGAAGATATCTCATTGGGATAAAATTTGGCAGCGACATAATCTTCTCTGGATTCGTTATAACTAAGCAATTTTTTCTCTTCTACAACTCTCTTTTTTCTTCTATTCTGTTTTTCCACCATCACGAAATATGCACTGAAATTACATATCAATTTAAATGTTATTACAAAAGACTTTTAATCTTACATTTTATATATAATGCATGAATAATGATAAAATATGACATAATTTAGATGCCAGATTCCCGATTAACTGTATAGCGTAATTTTAAAATTATTATTAAAAGATACAGATTGGCATTGTGACGATGTCACAGTAAATAGTTATGTTTTATTCTATTTTTGAAGCTTAATATAATATGATAAAGAATAAATGTTTATTTATTTGTCACTATATTTAATAAAATTAGATCAATAAATAAGAAACACCCAAAATATAAAGTTTAAAGCACGAATGAGTGTCGAAAGAAATCAAAATTCAGATGGAAATAATATTTTTTCCTAAACGAGATCCAAATTCATTCTTTCTTTGGATAATGTATACGGTATTTTGGGTTATAATATCAGTCTCCCCTATTCAGTTAATATATAAAAAATGAAATACGAGTAGTTTTATTATCTCAAATTAAATATCAATTAATAATACTCACGTAACAGGCCCTCCAATAAAATGAATTGGTTTTATTAAAATAACTACTGTCGTATCTGTAACATTACTAACTGTAGGTTCGACATCAATAACTGGTACTAGAATGAAAAATACAAGTAAAATTATTGATAACGATATAAACTGCATGAATTAAAATAAATTTTGCAATTATTTAAATCAAATTCGGTAGTTTGTAATTTGGATTAATATCTCGTACTGGCGACATACCAGAAACTTTTGTTGTAAACTGAAAATAAAGAGGTTTCCCGTAACCAATTTTGGTACTAGCTTCTATGGTACCATTATACTTAGTAGCTGGGTGCAAATTAATAAATGTACAGCTTCTAGTGTTAGGATTTGTTAACTTCTCTTGTGTGCTTCCTATAATACTATTATTGAAGGACTCTGCTACAGTGATGTTTATCTATAAATAATAAAATAAAATTTACTGTTTTTATTAGAATTTTTAAAAATAAATAAGAATTATTTCTCAAAGAAGAAAATAAAACAATTTAATTCCAAACGTGAAGTTTTAGGTTGTTATATTTTTAACATGTTACATACGGCAAGAATTATTGATTTAAATATATTAATAATATGAAAAAATATACCCTGTATCCAGTCAATTGTCCATTTGATCTTACGGGTAAAGACCAGATAATATCCACCGAATGTTCCGTAATATTAGCTATTTCTGTCTCTTTAGGTGGATCTGGTACTAAAATTATGAAAATAAATCTGAAAATCAACTTATTTCATAGATATTTAAGTTATATTTATATAAATAGCAAGAATTAAAGAAAAGACATAAAACAAATAATAATTTCTGTTTACCATATTCTTTTGTTTCACCACTTGTAGTGACTGTTTCACTTCCGCCATAAATGTGTTCGTTATATGCTGTGATCTTAATTATAAATATGATGAACATATAAGTAATAATGGAAAATGGTATAGATTAAAATTATATGGAAAGCTAAAGTTAGTTAAATAAGGTTGGAAACAGGAAATAAGTTATATAGACCATAGAGTTCTTTAGAATTTTGCGTGTTATTGTTATTGCTATTTTGCTTTTATCTAAGGGTTTGTTATTGGGGGCAGCTCTTTCTTGTCTGCTGGACAATACCTGCATTAATTAAAAAACATATATATATATATATATTCACACTAAAAATACCTCAGTATTTAAAATACTAAAGAATTTTTATTTCAAATGTACGGTAGTTGCCTAGTAAAGATTATTCCTAAATTTCTGGATGAAATCATTTTTCACATTTAATCGAATCTCGACTCTTATAGTAGTTTTTAAAACACAGATATAAAAATCCTCGAGAAAAGTTAAGTAAGTTATATATTTGAAATGTGAAAACCCTTGTCTTATAGTAGCTACTTGGACATGAGCTTCTAGGCTATATGGCCTCGTGGTAAAGTGTGACGTTATTCTCGTGTAATAGTAGTTGTATGCGTTTATGATAGTCGTAACGTGGGGAGTAATGCTTTCCGGGAGGTATATTTAAAAATAACTGGCCTCTGTTCAGAGATACAGACGTGGAGAAAACCCGGAAAACTCCACGTGGGCAGTCCGTCCTGGCGAGGCGCGAACCCAGAACACTGGGGAATTCTGAGTGTTTAGGGAATAAAACCGCTTGGCCACTGATGGGTGTGAAAACCTTTCGTGTACAGTACGTGTGATCCCCAGGCATTATCTAATTAGTTCTAACGAGATACAGGCAGTTTACTTACCGTGTTTCCCCGAAAATAAGACATCCGCAGAAAATAACACCTAGCACAGATTTTGCTGAATTGCGAAATATAAGACCTCCCCCTGAAAGTAAGACCTAGCGAAGTTTTTTTTAGTCGTAACGGTCATCGACAGATGGTTGACAGTTGCCGTTGGCTTTTTGAAAGTACAGCCACTGATTGGTCAGCAGATAATTACGCCACACGGCATGATTTGCATAAGACTATGGCTTGGGAATCATAGATTTCCATAACATTACGGCTGGTGATGGCTAATTGGTCGGCCGGGAATCACGCCACATGACATTTGCATAGTGCTACGGTTCAGTAAGCACTAATTGGTCATCGAGTCCGATGTTGACGCTATAAAAAGGCGACAGTTCGACACACCGAATATACGTCACTTTCGTCTGAGTTCGACTTGGGAATTTTTTTGTTCAATAATAAATGTGAATTCTTCTTCCTGGAAAAAATAAGACCTAGCGCATTTTTCAGAGCAAAAATTAATATAAGACACTGTCTTATTTTCGGGGAAACACGGTACTTTCTTGTTTCTATGAAAAAAAGTGTCCATGCTACTATTGTATATTTATATTTGTTATATTTTGTATTATGCATTTGATAAAAAATGTATCCTTCAGGAAAATAGTGTATATTGTGTTTGAAGAAATACAAAATATCCAGTACAATTTACAATTATTCATTATTGCATATGTATTAGGTGAGTACGTGCCCAATTAAATTTCCTTTATTTTAGCAAATAGAGAGATATGACAGATGAATTACAATAAAAAATTATATATATATATTCCCGAACATGCGGAATACAATATTAAAATAATGTATTAATAAATGAAACTGTGAGAACGTATGCGAACAGGAACAAGAACCCGGATTTGATTCATTACTCTGACGAGGTAGGGTAGTAGAGCTGGCTAATTTGGTATGTTATGAAGAATGTTTCACCTTTAATAAAGCAGTTGATGTTTATCTCTAAAATCAGGAATGTTGGCTTCAATATTATAGTACCAAATTAATGTTTAATTTACATTATAATTTTATTTAATAAATAATAAATACGAACGTTTATATTTAAAATTTAGACGTTTCATTCTATTTGAAATTAAAATTGAAAATTATGAATTCAATAAGAATAATATTTTTTTACTTTTCATAATAATGATCTAAATATGTTTATATAATATAATAATTACAATACCTCAATTTTATATTTTTGATTTCCTTTTAGATCAGTTAAAGTGTAGCAATGTCGACTTTTTCTGATATCGTCTAAGCACTTAACTTCATTAGTATTAACTACTTTTTGTGTTTTCCGACAATAAGAACTTTCAAGTGAGCAGTACTCTATAACATATTTCTGAAGTACTCCATTTGGAGGATAAGGAGGAATCCAAGACATTGATAAAATGCTTTCCGTGCTGAGAAAAATCGTCAGATTTGTAGGAGCCGATGGTTCTTCGTGCATAAAAAAATAGTTTTTTTATATTAGTTCAAATGTAAAAAATAACTAAAAATCTCTTTGTCTATCGGATTTAATCGCTAATAAAATACTTACTGTCACTTTTTGTTGTAAAATCAATTTCAGCAGAGGAACTGCTAAATCCGATTTTCGTTCCAGCATAAACTCGTGCCGTATAAACAGTGAAAGGAACAAGATCATCAACATAATCGTAAATCTGTGTTGTTTTTCCACTTCTCTTCCTTTTTTCCCAAGGATCCTTTGAATCCAAAACGTATTGATACTCTATTATTTTTCCATAAGAGAGAGAACACACAGGCGGTTCCCATTCTATTCCCACGAGATTCTTTTCAATATTGAAGTGTCTTAGGTTCTGAGGAGGTCCACCGGGAACTGTATTCGAAAACTTTCGCCTTATATATTTTGAATTTTTGATATTTGTGTTTATACCTACAGGACTTACCACTTTCTTTGGTCATAACATTTACAGAAACTTCTTCCCCTTCTTTTACTGTTAATGCAGAAACACTAATCGTGTATTTAGAATTTGGATAAGTATCAATGACAATTGAAGTTTCGTTTGCGTCAACATCTTTCGTTAAAGCAGAATTATTAACTGATGTGCAAGAATGAAGCCATTTTTCTTGTCGATAACGAACGATGTATTTGACGATGATTCCGTTTTCTTTGTTAGGCTTGTCCCAGGTGAGATAAACCCGACTATCGGTAACATTGCGTGCATTTAAATTTTGCACACTCGAAGGAGCTAAATTAAAATGAATTTAATCTTGAAAATGAAAATAACAAAACATCTTATTTAATAATAATTTCTAAATTAATTTACAAATTATTTTTAATAAACTAAAATATTGCAAAGTATTTTTTAAAGTAACATATTGTAATAAAGTAATTTATGAAGTATAAAGGAATTTTAATCAATTGGGTTATTTATTTAATCTCGTTTTACACAAATATTTGTAGACGTTTAATTGAAACGTATAAGCATAAATTTATAATTACTACATTCAAAATAAATTCATAACGAGTATACATAGAGAATAGTGTTTTAAAATAGTGATAAATGTAAAATATTACCGATTTCTTTGAATGAATAACATGAAAAAAATGAAAACGATAGACTATCCAAATTCGAAATAATATTACATGAAAATGAAAGAAAATTTACATCAAAGTTTTAAGCTACAGTACTATAAATGCGAATGATTTTGAATCAGGTGTCGCAACGAAACTTCAAGGATGCCTCGGAATATAATTCTGAGTAACGTCATAAGACTTCTTTCGTGTATTATGAAAAGTATGAAAAATACAATAAGTAAAGTTATTTACTGTTGACAATTTGGGCACTAGTAGATGGGTGTTAGATCACATACAAAGTAATACGCATTCTTCGACTTCACTAAAACTCGATACAAGAACGATAGTGACATTTATCGACTATAAAAGTGATGTCAATAAAACAAAGCCACATAGAGACCAAGTTCGAAAATCGTTCTAATAGTGTGTGAGATCAATTCGCAAACATGCCATAAACGGGTGAAGGAAGTGGGATGCGTTAACCGTTCGATTCATCTTTAACGTAGCTTTAAAAATAAGATTTACGGTAGTTTTATTGTAAATTTTGATTCTAAATTAAGAAATCTGCGTTAATTTTCTTCTAAAAATGTACTCGTTTGAAAACTGCTCTTCCTGGGGTTCCAGTAATCGTAGCTTAGCGGTCTACCTATATTAAAATAGGCTATAATTTTAGACCTTGTATGTCACTTCACAGGTATGTCGAAACTATCTGAAAATGAGAGGTGTAAAACGGCAAATTTAATTTGTAGGCGATGAGAAGCAGTAAATGCTCAAAACATGTCTTAGTCAATAAAATAAAGGATCTTACAGTTTAGTTCTGAACAGTTTAGTGTTTTCTTCTGCATTACATTTTGTTTTAAAAAACGTATAGAAATTAAAAAATATAAGCAATTTAAATGTAATTATGGTAGACGAGGCAGATAAATTCAGCGGATGGCGGCTATTTCATTTAATATCTCAGGATGGGGAAAGGATTAAGAAATTAAATTTAGCACGGCAATTTGTGTATAAGGGTAATTGATGCTATTAAAGTTTGGTATTAATGATCGGGGTGGGGAGATAGGAGGAAGTCATATACCATATCGTAAGTGGAGTCGGACTGAATAAAATTTTGCTCTTTCTTCACATTTATAATTTTTTAAAAAATCTCAACTCTACCCTCAAAATTAAGCCTTTTGCCTTTTTATAATAATTAATAATATAAAAGTTATTTTTTAAATACAATCTCATAACAGATAAAACCACACATAATATCAAATTTGTGCTCTTGTGTCTTGTTAGCGTTTCGTAAAGATAAATTTTTTTCATCGAAAAAATTATGCAACTCGTTTCTTGATTTATTATTTAAAATTTAAATTGTTGACATGCATTTAATTTCAATTGTAAAAATTTAAGTTTTTAATCATAACAATTATAACTAATCGTTATTGAACAACTTACCGTCTTGAGCAGAGATAACGTTAATCAACGATGACCATTCACTAAAAAATTCTTCGTTGCCAAGTCTTAATGAAATATTCCATTCTGTAAATGGTTCAGTTGTTATAATAAAACTGTTATCTGTCTTATTCTGGCGGAAACTTTTTCCATTGGAAGAATTATAAAATATATTAACATAAATATTTCTACAGTTCCAAGTTTCTTCTAAAGGAAGCTGAAATTTTAAAAGATTTGTCTTAAAAAAAACTGTAATAAAAATACTATAACATTATTAGAATTTAACATAAGTTTTTTATTTAAAAAATGATTAAAAATATATAAGAATATTCTGAATTTATAAATATATTTAATTATTTACCATCAAATTCGCGAAAAGAACGTGACATTGTATACTTTTAATAAAAAATGTGTCATCTGTAAAGAGTTTATCGTCAAATTAAACTACTAATTACACTAGAAATCACTTATTAATAATCTATAATTTTTAATAAGCGGATTCTTTAAATTACAGTCGAATTCGTTTAATATAATCAGTTGTATAATGTTATGATAATTAGCATGTCCCAAATCATATAAGTTAACTTATACATGTAAAGCTTTATCTATTCTAATCAGTTTTGATTATAATTATCATCTTTTTTCATCTAATTATCATCTAAGCTTTTTCTCGCTATCAGCCTCAATATATAATGCGTAATCATAATCAATTATGGATATCAGTCATAGCCAGTGCTTGTTAAATGTTTAACGTTAGCGTTTTAATTGTTGTTTATTAGCAGTAAAGTAGTTTAAACTGCTGGCATTTTATTCACTGAATTATGAATTTTCTCAATACATATCTAAAATTATTTAAACACGTTGTATTAATATTAGAATTAATGAAACCGAGTGTCCACTTATTATAGGCTTATTTACTTATTTCGCTTAATATTATCATTCACGATGGCCAAATTATAGAGGAGGTTAAGGAGTCAACATATCTTTCTGGAGAACTGGGTTAGAATCTCGGCGAGCAACCGTAGGATTTTTTCATTAGCAATCTGTCTCAGATATGTTAGGTCCCATCCTTCATTATCCAACCACTCCATTGTGGCCAAATAATTGGGAAAACTAGTCACTATTTAAGCGTTAGGATATATATATAGTGTATATATATACATATACACTATATATAGTCGAAAAGTCTATAGTGTATATATATATATAAAAATCACTGNTAGCAATCTGTCTCGGATATGTTAAGCTCCATCCTTTATCATCCAACCTCTCCATTATGGCCAAATCATTGGGAAAACTAGCCACTATTTAAGCGTTAGAATATATATATACTACAGACTTTTCGACTAGATTTTTCTCTAATTAAAAGTCACTACCTTATACAGTGTAAACGTTAATAAGACTGCTCTAGTGACACTTTTCAGCTCTTGGCAGAGTACCACTGTTATAACTAGAGAGATAATTTAAAAGATATTGAGAGAGCCAAAAGCGGAACAGCTTTACTTTGAGCAAAATTGACCTCTCACAATTTTCTACTTACAAGAAAACTTACATTAAGATAATCGAAAATGAGTCACGAGCACAAGATGCTATTAATATTCCCATTATTCTTTGAAGTACAAGAAATTAAAACAAACTCACCGAATATTAAATAAGTTCTTTGTATATTAAAATTTATCACATTAAATGTAGACTTACACAATAGTTTGTTTTATTACTATAATAAAATGATGTTAAAAAATTGAGAGTATTTGTTTTGATTTTTCTTTCGTACATCTGCGAAAGACACATACCCAATCTACTTTTTCTGCAGGCTTGGTTTTGTGTAGATGAAAGATCTGAATGTAGTTTCTTGCCACTAATTATTAAGTCATTTTATGTAACGTGGAACCCGCCGGTATTACCAGCACCACAGGATTTCATACACTCATTGCCATAAAAATTAGCACATCAATGAGAAGTTGACAGAATCCACCGAAATTCTGCATGTGTGAGTGTAACGGTAATATAAGTAAGTGATTAAAAATGAAAGCAGAACAATCATTTATTGCAGGAAAAACTAAAATAAAAGCAGGTTCTAATACTCTGTTGTCCCACCTGAAGCGTGAGTCATACATTTCTTAGGCCATAAAGCTATACAGGTGACATGTAGTGTCCGGCGGTGTGTTGTGATGTTCATGTTTTGTGTGTGTTTTGATTTTCTTGAAAATGTTTTTGAGTTGTTTCTCTAATTTGGGTGTTATGTTGTTTTTAGTGTATTGTGTCAGCCTGCCTAATTGCTTTCTAATGTCATTTATTTGTGTTTCTATTTGTCTCTGCCAGGCAGGCTTGTGATAGAATTGTGTTTTGTGTGTGTTTGTCTGCGATTGTATTTTCAGTCCATGGTGTATTACTGCTGTGACTGCCCCAGCATAAACTAATGTATGAATGTCTGAGAGTGAAGAAATTGAATGAATGTAGTTTGGTAGTAAATGAGTGTTTACATAATTTAGTGTTTTTCCTTTGACGTGTTGAATTTCGGTATTCGTGGTCTTTGTGTGGGATCTGTGCCTGTATATTAAGCGAGTGTTTCCTGAAATATAAGTGAGAGTGTATTAACTAAATCTATATCTACGTTATCAGTGATGGATGAGGAAGTGTCTGTAGTATCATTAATAGTAGTTGTTGTATGTGTGCTATTATCAATGCTTGTTGCTGGATTATCCTGACAGGTTATGTGATCTGTGTGCGCCGTGTGTGCGAGTTCTCTCTTGTCCACTGATACCAACATCTACTCACATAGTTGCCAGAATGGCCTTCGGCGAGATGACCATCCGGTTTTTTTCAATTCGATGATCTTTCCTCTCTCAAACTCGGCTAGTTGTTCATATTATTTTCGATTGTGAAGTAAAGGCATCTCTAGTGATAAGTTAACTTCAATAGGTTGACTATAGGATGCCTTTGAGCGCTTTTTATAGATCAAGGGGGTGCTATTTAACGCTCTCTGCTGGCATTACGCAACGAATCATCACTGTATCACTGTAATCATTTCCATAACTATTTGGGATTTATTTGCATGCCGAGTTTCGCAGCGATACAACAACTCCTCGGTGCACTAAGTTTTATGGCAATGAGTAGATAATAAACATCGCCATTTTAAAAAATACTGAAGCCTACAACAAAACGAACAGGATTAAAGATGTTTAAACACGCGAAGATGTTAAACGACAACATATAGGTGAGAAGTTCTAGCGCTTTTTCCTCGACCACCATTACAAAACTAGCGACACCAGCCCTTCTACGACCATCAGGGAAATCTAATAAAGAAGCTCCAATTGTCAATACTAGAGGACAGTTTTTACAGGTTCTACAGGTTTTTCAAATGCAGATGTCTTCCATTTTACCACACTTTCCTCTACTATTAATCAATATTGTACAACATAATTATATAACAGACAATAGATTTTAATATAAGTATAAAAATTAAAAACTTACTTTCCAATTCACGACGATTTTTGTCGAGGATGTCGTATTTATCGAAATGTGTTTTGGTGGTTCTTCCGGAACTAAAATGGAAAATATTATTAAAACAATTAAACATTAATGCAAACAAATAAATAATTCGAGTTTAATTCGGAGTTTATTAGAATAATCAGCCCTTATTTTAATGATCTTACCTAAACAAAAAATTATTTTGAAAATTTTTATTTAATTTTTAAATATGAAAAAACTTATTTAATAGTTTTATATTTCATTCATTTTTAAATGTAAATTAATAATATACTAGTTTAAAATGCAATATATATACTATATGAGAATGATTTCATAAAGAAACTTTATGAAATCATTCTTGATCATTAACACATATCTACTACAATGATATTGTAATAAACATCAATACAATATTTTTAATTATATGTAAATGTGCATAGAATATATCGATGTTCTATTAAATGATAATAATCCACGCTTTATGAACGCTATGCTGTTGTGTCAGGTATAAATTTCTACCGTATTATGTAATGTATGAAATGCTATATTTAAATAAGTATTTTTGTTGAATATTTTGATGTGTTATTACGCAATTCAAAGTTGATCCTATCCGTTGTTTTTGCAAGAATTTTCTTGTAGAAAATAACGAATAAGACACAGAAATAAGTACAGAAAATAAGCACAGAAATAAAAGTTTATTTCATTAAAAATAAAAGGTGATATCTGATAATAATTCTAATAAGATTNTACGCAATTCAAAGTTGATCCTATCCGTTGTTTTTGCAACAATTTTCTTGTAGAAAATAACGAATAAGACACAGAAATAAGTACAGAAAATAAGCACAGAAATAAAAGTTTATTTCATTAAAAATAAAAGGTGATATCTAGTAATATTTCTAATAAGATTAAGCTTTGTATAATTACGAATTTGATTATAAATACTTACTTCCACAGAGTGTTGATGCTCTCAAAATAGGTGCATCGTTCATTTGCGCGTGTCCACTTATGTCTTTAATGATAATTCTTATGATATAAGTTTTATCGGACTGAAGATTTGTCAAACTTACGATATAACTGTTATTAGAACTACTGTTTGCCTTTATTTCTTCGCTGTCCTCCCACCCAGAATTCTCCAAACCATTTTTCTATAATAAAATAAAACGATTTGTATATTAACTTTCAATACTGCAAATACACATTTTCTGTAGAAAGACAGAAAGTTTGGTTTGGTTTAATGAGCTATCGCAGCGCAGTGTAATGTGCTTCGGAAATATTTATAGGATTTACATGTTTAGTGTGCTAGAATTCTTAACGTAGTATGATTATTTATTTAATTAAATTCAAAATTATTTATGTTATTTTAGTGTTTATTATAGATTAGACTTTTATTCAGAATGTAATGCAATTATTGCAGAAGCAATAAAAAAAAGAAAGTATCATTTTAATTATTTTATTTATACAATATAAATAAAAACTGTTTTGTAAATAAAAATCTTATTATTACTGTATATTTGTATGATCAATAATGAATAGCTGAATTAAATATATATAAATTTTTGTGTGTTTCATAAATTATAGAATAAATGTAATTAATTAACGTTTTGATTAAAATAAAAATAATTAATTTTCTAAATAAAATATCAGCATACGCATTTTTAAATTACAGAAATATTAATTGGTTTATTAAATTTATTTTATAATACTAACATTAATTAGAAAGTTTTCTTATTTCTCTGATAGTTAATGTGCAATATACTTTCCAATTGATATAAATAAAAATCGCGTTCAGAAAGCTTTTTTTATTAATTTGATTTAATAAATAATTTAATTCATAAAATTAAATTATTAAATGAATAATATACATACTTTGTATTGAACTGTATAATAATTCGGAGTTCCTGTTCCTTTATCTTTATCTTGTTCCCATTCCTGAAACGTCAATTCAATGCTATTTGATGTTACTGCTTTTACAGTTGGATTACTTTTGAATACAGGATAACCTTTAATAATAAATTTATGAAAAAATACGACATTTAATTTTATTAGAAAACAAAATTCAATACGTGAGTAAACATATAATATTAATTAACACTTAATTAAGTATTTATTAATGCCGAAATAGAAAATAAAGTGTAAAAAGAATTCAATAAGTAGTTAAATTTTATATTTAACATAGTAAATAATATAAAAACGTTTCCTAAAAAATAGACAGTTCTACATCAGTATTGTAAATAAACTCATTAATTTCAACTTAAAAATACTTAAAATTTATATTAAAATAGAGATGATACACAGGGTTACGACAATAAGCCGACGAAACGAAATGGGTATGTAAAAGGAGTCAATACAAGCAATTTTAGTCATATGAACTGGGCCCACCTTACGAAATACAAGCTTCTATATTTTGGGTAGTGGTTGCTATCCTGAGATGCAGGAATATCATGCTTTGAGAAGCCAGACATTATTAATTTTTTGTAAGGGCACATTCGAATGAGCCATACTTCTACTTTATTTCAGAGAGTACTAACGTAAGAGGTCTAGATTAGATTGCTAGTATTGTAAGTTAAGTTAAACTAGTTCCAGTACTCATAAATTTATATGGTTCATATTCTCTAAATAAAACTTTATTCTGTGTGTTACGTACGAGAAGTGCTAATTTTATATTTACCCGTTAAACATTTTTAAAGGTTGATAACAAAGGAAAACCTGTTAGTCCTTAATATTTACTGATTTATTCAAAGCTGCAAAGGAAAAGAATTGTTCAGCAAACCACTATAAGATGGCACTAACAATTCGGAATAGATTTTTATTTGTATGGAAATTTGACAAAGCATCACAAGTATGCCAGAAAAGTATCATCCAGGAAGGTTTAAAAGGGAAACTGGCTCCTATTCAAGTGTTAAAACTATCGTGGAATGCTGTTAATTCACACTGACTATCTTTCTACCAGTATTTGACATGCAATTAAACGTGGGTTATCAATCAATAAAGAAATAACAACTAACAAACATTATCGTGATTTTTACTTTTTTCTACATTTTTAAAACTGCTAAACCACGAAACAAGGCGCAAGACAACTGAACAAAGACTGTAGGCTTTCCTACAGTATAATTTTGATATTCACGACAAAGAACATTTAGGTAAGCAAAGAAACTTTAGGAGCCGACCATCTATTCATTGGATCAAAATTGCTTGTAAGACATATCATCACATTGACGAGTCCTAATATTAGTGTTACTTAAGAACTTTTAATTTATATTAAGCATATTTTATGTAAAAGCGCTTATTTTAAGAAAGAAATAAGAATAGTAAAACAAAGTTAATGCCATTCTGATACATTTGTCAGTAGAAAATTATTATACACACGAAAGTAATACCACATTCTCGATATACAAGGTATATCTATATTCAATACGTCTTACTCACTTAACACACATGGAGTTCCATGCCATCCTTCTTCACACCCGTCTGGACACTTGCCGGTTTTCGCTTCGCATTCGTTTGAATTTTTGCAATGAGAACATTTCTGAGTACATCCTGCACCATAGAATCCCGTAGCACACGCTGAAAAACAATATTTTCAAGCATTAGACAATATAATTTTATAACTTTAAATAGCAATTTGAAATTTTGAAAACATTACATTCATTGCAAAAGACAGAAGTGAAACCGCTGATGCAAGAACATCCATATGGATCTGGTAAGCAGAAGAGGATTTCTGCACAGTTAGTTTCCTCGTTCTGATCATTAAAGCATTGTTGGCTACAATCTTTTCCGAAGAATCCAGGCTCACAGGCTATAAAAAATAAAATTATTTCTTTTAATTTACGTGTAATATTTTTAAGACAAAATATTAACATAACATAAATAATACGAATTTTTTTGAAAATATATTCAATGCTTAATAATAAATTAATTAATCAGATGTTTTGCAAGTATATTGAGAAATTTATAATTAGACTTGGTAAAGTTAGTAAAATAAGTAGTATTTTCAAAAACCGAACGCACTCTAATTGTGTAGCAATCAAACATGATTTCTCTCGATTCATAACATCTAATTAGCTTCTTTACTTGTTGCTTTAATATATCACATTTAGTAATTCATCATTATATGTATTTTATATAATTTAACTCACAGCGGAGATAATCGTCCTTGCGAATGTAATATATTAAGTGTAATGATCACAATTTGTTGTTTACATAAATACTGCCTTATTTAACTTTCAGGTATGTACTAATAATATTTATACTAATAATATACATATAAATTTGTAACATTATAAAACATAAAGAAGAAAGCATATTTTACCATTTTCACAAAGAGTTCCATTGAATCCTGGTGGACAGATGCAGTCGCCAGTCAAATCGTGACATACTCCTCCATTTAGACAATTGGGACATTGGTGTTCACAAAGAGGACCATAAATTCCATCTTTACAAACTGAAATTTATTAGTTTCGAATATTGTCTTAATGATTCATAGAAAATAGTTCATAACAAGATGATAAAATAATAAATTGATATAGGCCTACAGTAAAACCTGTATAAACCAGAGTTATTTTTTCGTTTTGTCAAGTTTTTTATTTAGTATTTCTTCTTCTTTTTTTATGCTTAAACTACATCAGATAAATGTTATTCCGCAATTAAGTTCATTATTTATAGTAAAATTACTTTTACATTTCTGGTTTCACCCAAATTAATCCATTGTCATTCCAACTAGATATGAGAGTATTCGAATGCAATTGTATTTTTTCGTTTTGTCAAGTTTTTTATTTAGTATTTCTTCTTCTTTTTTTATGCTTAAACTACATCAGATAAATGTTATTCCGCAATTAAGTTCATTATTTATAGTAAAATTACTTTTACATTTCTGGTTTCACCCAAATTAATCCATTGTCATTCCAACTAGATATGAGAGTATTCGAATGCAATTGTAAACTTTTTGATTGCTNTAAATGTTATTCCGCAATTAAGTTCATTATTTATAGTAAAATTACTTTTACATTTCTGGTTTCACCCAAATTAATCCATTGTCATTCCAACTAGATATGAGAGTATTCGAATGCAATTGTAAACTTTTTGATTGCTAAAAGGCCCAAACTACGGCTGCCGGACCAAACCCGGCCTGCAAACATATTTGACTTATAAATGATAAAAAGAAGCGTACATTTTACATTTATGGAATACTAGCTTATTACACCCGGTTTGACCCAGGTTTATAAAGTACCTAACGCTGTAATTGTTACACCCGATTTATTAAGTCACAGTCGAAAAATTGGGAATTTATGGCTCCTATGACATGCAGCGTACCGTAACTTGGGTAAATTTTGTTTTTGTGGAGTACTTCTAAAACAGAAAGTTTGAAACGGATACCATAATTTTTCATATTTGCAATCCGTTTAAAATATTTGGAAGATTCTTCGGTGAACTTTCAATTTGGCATTTTGGTTCGAATATTCTTAAAAAATTGGAGTTTGTATTTTAAAATAAACTAAAATTTTATAGTAGCTGTAGTATAAAATTAGTTGAGATAAAATTATTACAGTTTCTATTATAATGCCAAATTATGCCGTTTTAGTTGTTCTTGCCACTGCACGTTGCAGTTGATGATATAAATTGTGCTGATAATTTCTAAAACTTTCATCCTTATACAAAGAAGCTGTTGTTTGATTTTTACTATTATAGTAAGTGCTTTTTGTCCACGACCGAATGGTCGACAAAAAGCATCAAGATGGTTAAGATATCAAACTACCTCTATGGGAGATCCTAGCTCGAATTCGGTCGAACAATTCCGGATATTTCTCAAGAGCGGTCTTTCTCAATTAGGGGTCCTCAACTCTTATAACTTAGTAGCGGCAGACTGGAACATGATTTTGAGCTTGGCAACACCAAGATTACGAGGCCACTTTACTAGTGTCAAATATTAATATTCAAAAACTTAGGTAAAGAAAGGTGGTAAAATAAACGAACTGAAAACTATTTGTATAATTAATTACATTTGAATAAATAAGTATTTTCATTTAAATATAAATAATACTTGGCAATTTCAACCAATTGCACTTTTACGTATACAATTTTTAACTGAACTGGTCAATTGCAGCATCGGTTCTTCTGGCATTTGCCAAAACTACCCTATGGCCTGTTCGCACCTAGTCATCTCAGTATAGGTCTGACCGAACCTACTATGGGTATGATTAAAAAAGGCCTTATCCACCAGTGACCGAATGGATAAAAATCACTGAACGCTGTAGTTTGTCGTAAATTCGCGATTTCCCAACAAAGAGATCGTAAGTTTTCTGGGTTTTCTTGACGTGTCTAAAACGTAAATAGTGGTCTGATTTTTCATAGAAAGTCCTTTGTCTCTCTAGAGACACCTCTCCTTGGTAGATTACTCGTGTACTGCGTTGCCGTATTCCATCAATCCAAACCAAAAACCAACATTTTCGTTGTTCACAGGACGGAAAAAATGACAAAATGAAAAAATAAATGGTTATACTGTATTAAGAATCTTTAAACTTACCTCGAACTATTAGTCTTGTAATTCCCGGATTTTCAAAATAGTAATTATCCAGACTATAAATTCCTCCGTCTCCAATTTGCAAGGAATTGAATTTTAAATACAAATCGGCCTTATCTCTACCAAAAAATCTATTCAAATATCCAGAAAACTCCTTTTCGTTCTTTCTCCAATTTCTAGAACGTATGCTTGAATTCATTTTTATTTCTGTTTTATCATTGATGCTCTTTGTTATCGTAAACGAAGTTGGAAGAAATTGAGCTACATACGCAATTATTTCGACAAATAAATTTAAGAAAACAAACAAACAAATAAATATATCGAAGGTCGTTCAAAAAGTAATACCCGTTTTAGAATCAAAAAGTAACCAATAAAGATATATGAAAAAATTCGCATACCATAGGTTACTTTTCAACGTAATGCACGAGAAAAAGATCCACTCCTTGTCTACTTCATGTCCCAAGAAGACATGATAAATACTGATGTATGTTTTGTTACATTGAAGCTTAATACAGAATCGCAGAAGAGGTTTATTGTCTTATAGTGTCAACTCCTTACATTATAATGCGCGACCTCGTGTCGTCGAGAAAACAAAATAACTCGAAAGTTTTAAATGAAAAATTTTAGATCATCCATCCTTTAGCCCGGACTTGTTCTATACAGCCTTTTATCTTTTCGCAAAACTAAAAAATACTTTCGAAGGAAGAACACTTTGAGAGTAAGGAATAGTTGCAGGAAGCAGTCACTATGCATTTCTGAATGCCCTGGCGGCGATGTACTGTACATTGCAATACAAAAATTTGCACGTGGATATTCAAGGTGATTACGTGGAAAAGTAGCTTATGGTATGTAAATGTAAAATATAGAAGTATTTTCGTAAATTTTTATCAATTTGTTTTAATTCTAAAACGGATACTACCCTCCGAACTACCCTCGCATGTTATAATAACGATGAAGTACTCACGATATTTTCTCATCGAGTGCGAAAGTACACCCGAAAGCATACTTCGTTCAGGTTTACACCAAAAGCCACCCGTTTCAGTCCAGGAATGATTATAAGATATATACGATCCTAAAATTATAAATCATTTTTATATATTAACTTTATATACTGTATATATAAAGTTAATTAGAATAAAGAGAATTTTCTTTTGTTGTAGAAAAAATGTTTTTATATCAATTTCAAATATTAAAAATTTATGTAAAACTACAAATGATAAAAAAAACGTATATACGATGTTGAGAATACAAAAGAAATTTATAAAGAACAAGAGTAGAACAACTGTTGATAACTCCTTGTTCAATGTTGATTATTATGATAACCAGTTTCATTTTTTAAATATAACTTATATCAAATTTTATATTAAAATAATTTTATTATAATTATGATAAATACAGGACCGTATACAGTGGCTATCCGAAACTGATATCTGCTATATATAAATATGTAAACTTAATTTTCAAAGTCACCTCGTCTCTTCACTCAAACTTGACAATATTTTAATAACAGTCGACCCCCATATAACACTGTTGATTTTTCCGTTTTATATGAATTCTATGTTGTGCGAGTCACTTAGATTTTAGAAATACGTGTGCCGGGCTGTTAACGGCTCACGTATTTGTAAAATCTAAGTGACTCGTACAATATGGAATTCATATAAAACGGAAAAATCAACAGTGTTATAGGGGGTTGACTCTATAAGGATCTAAAATTGAGATGGAAGAATCGTCTTCTTCTTCGTCAATTGAAAATTTTATAGTTGAAAATGGCTTAAAGATTCTACGAAATATTGTAGTTTATGTTTTGAATTATCCCACGCTAACAAGGTATCATCCACATGTCTTAGATGCAAAATGGAAAACATAAGATTCGACAGGTCTGTAAAGCACTAGAGCTGGTGGTCAACAGCAGTTATTATCTACAAACACGGGTTATACAAATAAGTATTTTTTTATCTACTAAAATTGTGGGAATGAGAACCTTGGGAGAAAAGGTGTTCAATACATTTTAAAAGATGTGCTGAACAATTTTTGAAAATGTTTAGCCTTAAATATACCAGTTTAGCGAAGAGATGATTTCAGTTTTTTTATAAAATAATTTAAAATTTATTATCGCATCTAGAAGAAAATAAGTTTTAATTTCTGTAATTGTTCACAAAAAAACATTAAATATGTTACAATAAGCAGTATAATTTCTAAAATAAAAACGTTTACTTGAAATTAAATTATTATTTTATTACCTCTGCGTTTTGCAGATTCTTCAAACTCTTTGCTGTCTCGGAATTTACTGAAATATATTTTCCTCCCGGAATCGTTTGAAGATATTCGGCATTCCAATGTATGTGTGTCACCATTATTCACGAAATAATTATGATGAAGTGAAATAATGTCTAATATTTCTTCTAAAAAACAAAAAAAGAAATTGTATTTTTAGTACGTTTTTAAACACCCTCTAAATATTTTCTATTTAAAGAGTGTGTCAGAACATTTCATTTTCAACATTTATAAAATGTTTGGCCAAATTTTACAGACTTATAGAAAGAAAAAAAAAACCTGAATAAAAGTAGAAAGCCGTTTTTCCATTTGAAGCCACTAAGTAATGACTTCGTTTCCATTTACTGTGTAATGTATCAGTAATTTCGTTTACTAATCACTCACAATTAAAATTTTATGTGTGATTATTTTTCATAAAAACATTCCAACAACGAGTTGCGTAGCTATAACGGTTGTTATAAGATTTTATTTAAAAAATAACTTTTGCATTATTAATCTTAATAAATAAAATTGTGTGTGGCGCCATCTGTTATATTTTATTACAAAAATTTTTTATATTATTAATTATTATATAATAACAAAAATAAAATCTTAATTTCGACAGTGATGAGTTTTATAAAAAACAAAAAATGTAAAGGTTAATAATGAGTAAAATCTATATTAAGTCTAACCCCACTTGAGATATGGCAAGTGACTACCTTGTACGTCTTCGCCCCCCCTCGACCTTTAAATACCAAAATTTAATAGCATTAATGCTACTTATACACAAGCTTACATGACAAAGTTCGTTTCTAAATATTTATCCCATCCTGACATATTAAACGATAATAGATGCTAACATACAGACAAATAAACACATACATGAATACATATCCACGGAATTTCTTCCCGTTTATTTTTCTGACATTTCTGAGTTCAAGGGGCCTTATAACGTCGAGATTTGAAAAAACTATTGAGGTTCAACTTTGACAGGATTCCAATTCAATCTGTTGTCATATATAGACGTATCTATACATAACAACCGGCAAAGGGAATAATGTCCATGATTCATAAGGTTAAAGTATATCATTCCGCAACTCATGTCTATGTCGACTTAGTAATAATGCTATTTGCTGCATATACTGTGTTGCATTTTCTGAAACAACAGTTTTAATGAAATTGGAAAATACAGTATCGGGTTACTAATAGAGATTTAAATATTTTATTGTTAGATGAAATCAAAAATCCAGTATATAAACTGCTTTAATATTTAATATTTATTATAAAATGTTTACAGTATGCATCATTAAAGCGGTTTTAATTAATCCTGTTTAAATTACATTAAAATATGGTTCTCAGATCTTATCTTGCATAAAACATTTGTGCAAACTAGTGCAAAATCATTTTATATAACTTATAAAGCGTTTGAAAGACTTTTCATTTATGCCTATTAACATCTCGGTTTACCTCGATGTAATATGTTAATAGTTGTGCCAAATTTGTCAAACTTATTGTGCCAAAAACATCAAATTATGCAAAAAGTATTAATAGTAGACGAAAATTAGTTAACAAAAACCTAAAAGTAAATTTACTTGAGTAAATAGATTATAAATATA